CTCTGAGACCCATAAGCCAGCACAGGGGGAGGGTTACAGGCAGGCAAATGTTTTGTGTGTAGATTTATCTTTTCTGGGGACAGAGTCCATAGCTTTTGTCATATAGAAAGACTGTGATGCCACATCCTGGCAAGCTTGTGGAGCAACTCCACCTCCTGTACTGTGACATGTGGGATGTAAACGGCACAACCGCTTCAGAAAAACATTTGACAGTTTTCTATAAAATGCATTTCACTCCTAGGAATTTACCCATGAGGAATAAAATCATGTCCACAAAAGGACTTGAAGAAGACTGCTAATAGCCACTTTACTCATTAAAGTAGAAACTGGAAACAGATCAGGTGTCTATCAATAGGAAAAGGACAGACAAACTGCGTGTAGCCATATAGTGGCACAGGACTCATGAACATGCTGAGCCGGTGGCCTGTGGCCCCGCTGCTCCTGTCGGAGGCTGAGGGTCACTGGAGCCAGGAGTTCTCAGCTGCAGGGTGCTATGCCATCGGGCATCCGCACTAGGTGACCTCCTCGGAGCAGGGACCACCCAGTTGACCAAAGAGGGGTGACCCGGCCTGGATCAGAAGTGGAGCAGGTCAGAACTCCCGGGCACCTATGAATAACCATTGCACTCCAGCCCGGGCAATACAGGTGACCCCTCTCTAAGAAAACACAAAACACAAAAAAAGCACCTCCCCACCCCAAAAAAAGGTGAATAGAAGAAAATTTACACTGAAGACTATATACTGCAATATTCCATTTACATGAAATTCTAGAATAGCTAGAAGACGAAACTAGTCCACGGTATAGAAAAAAATCAGAGAAGTGGTTGCTTCTGGGCAGTGGGTAGAAGACGAAGGGTCGGGATGAGGGAACTTTCTGGGGTAATGAAAATGTTCTATATCTTGGTAACAGATTGAGTCACACAGGTCAAATTCAGTGACGGCACACTCAAGATTTGTGCATTTTGTACTTTTTTAAAGAAAGAATTATCTGAATGTTAATTAATTAATTTATTTATTTTCTGTAGCTGGCTGGTACAGGGATCCAAACCCCCGACCCTGGATTTACTTCATCAAAGCAAAAAAAAATTATTTTAGTTAATTTACTTTTATTGTTATTTTTCTGTTCTAAGATGTGGGGTGGGGTGAGAGAAGGGGGACAGGCCTGGGCCACAGGTGGCTCCTTCGCTGGCCTGGCTGTGGAGGGCAGGGGGCCTGGCTGGGACCCACGGGACCAGAGCTCAGGGGCGTCTGCAGCCAGATGGGTCATCACTGGGCTGCATGTGGACCCAGAAAACGTTTTGTAAGCAGAGGATAGGATGTGAGAAATTCTGACATACCCTCCACATTTTTAAGCTTCTTTTCTGTATCTTTCATTTTAGGTGCTTATCTGAATGTTGCTGTGGGTCGTTTCCTCTAACTGAGTGTCTGGTTTGCTGACCCTAACCCTTTAAACTTGCTTAATCGACTGTTAAACCCTTTCATTGAGTTCTAAATTTCTATGACTTCATTTTTCAGTTTTAGAAATTCTGTTTATTTTTCAAATTACCTTGGCCACATTTTGGCAGTCTTCTCTTCTCTGGGGATGTTTATTAGCTCGTCTCTCCCTTAACAGAGCAAGCCTCGTTCTTGACAATCTGTGTCCTCAGACCACATCGGCGGACGTCTGGACGTGGGTTTCTGTTATCAGTGGTTCTGGTTTGTCCTCACGCTGACTTGTTCCCACGTGTACTCGACAGTGCCACGATCACGGTGCTTGAAGAATTGCCTATGGGACACTCAGAATAAAGGTGGCTCTCTCCAGAGAGGATTTGTGTTTGCTTCTGCCAAGGGTCTCCTAGAACACTACTGACCTGAGCTAGTGTGGAAGCAAATTCACAGCCTGAGGTCTCTCGGCCCCCCCAGGAACAGGAATTCAGGCTGCAAATATGCAGGAGGACTGAGTGTGTTCACAATTTCCAAGAAGCCTGCACCCCACATGACCACCATGTGCTTGGTGCCCAGGCAACTTGTGAGACGGACAGATCCTGGAGTGTCAGTATGGGGTGGAGTTGACTTCTGGTCTGCCCCTTCCTTCTTCCCCGGTGGTATAGACCTTCAGGGTCCTCGCTTCCTATCAGGAGGCCCCTGCTTTGCAAAGCTGCCGTGCCCTGAGTGCAAGGTGGCTGGGACAAGAAAACACTCTC